CCTCCTCCTCCTCCTCCTCCTCCTCCTCCTCCTCCTCCTCCTCCTCCACTACCACCACCACCACCACCACCACCACCACCGCTCCACTTGTTGGGCACTGCTGCCCCTCCCAGGTCTCTGGACAAAGGGCTGAAAAGAGGCCAGGCTCACCTTGGGCAGAGCCAGCTCCTGGTCCAGCCCCACGCTGATGTTGCACATTAAGTAGAGGTTTGCTCCAAACAGGACCAGAAACAGCAGCAGCTGAGGGAGAAACTGGCACATGAGAACCTCTCCCCAAACAGCCTTCATCTTCCCTCACACTTGAATGGCGTTGTTGGGCATCCTGGGAAACATCTTAGAGTTGGACAGACTCGAGTTCTAGCTCCGAGTATCCGCTCTGGGCCTGGGCTGCCTCCCACTATGCTCCTCCTGGTCACTCTCCGCTCTGGGGCCTGGGCAGCCTCCCACCATGCTCCTCCCGGTCACTTTCCCAAAAGTGGAACAGCCCCTCAGCCCACGTACCACAACAGGGCGGATGAATCTGTGCAGCAGAAAGGGAGCGTATATTTTCCGGAAGAAGCGGAGTAAGAGGCCTTCATTTTGTTTAGGTGGGGGCAGCTTCCGGTTTGAAAAGCAGCATAAGATGTCAGGGCGAGAGGCCTAGAGAATCACAGACCCTCAAGACTGAGTCCAAGGCAGACCACAGGATCCACCTTATCCAAAAGAAGCCCTGAAGATTTTGTATGAGTGTATGTACAGCTGCATGCCAGAAGAGAGCATCAGATCCCAGTATAGATGATGAACCACCATGTGGTTGCTGGAAATTGAACTCGGGACCTCTGGAAGAGCAGCCAGTGCCCTTAAGCGCTGAGGCAACTCTCCAGTCCCCACTGCAGGGTGTTTTGTTTTGTTTTGTTTTGTTTTTACTTCCTGTCTTAATCAAATACTGAATTTTACATCATCAAAAAAATTCCTGTTAACTCTTTATTTATAATTTATTTTGTAAACCTACATACTTTTAGGGGGGTTGATGATGCTACCACAAATAACTAATATGAAATTCTCTTTCTACGGAAAATTGGTGAGCACAGAGCCCCAAACATTCTCTCTCAGAATAATGTCCCTGCCTCCCACCCAACTCTTCTGGCTACCTCTGTGCCACATCTTCCAGAGAATGTGGGGACACTGGCAGGGTAAGTCCTTGGTCCTGGCCCAGTTGTCTTTACCTCCTGCCTCTTGCTATCCAGGGAGAGCAGGGCCACAAAGGCAGTCATCTGGAGTAGGAAGTCGAGGATGATTGCTGAGCCAGAGGTCAAGGCAAAGGTCCTCACTGCTGGCATGGGGGTCAGGGCGCCTGTTGAGGGCATAGCGTCTGTTGGATCATTCTGGTATCATGGGCCAGATGCCAGCACAGACAGCTTAAAGCAGGGAACACCCATTGCCTTCTGAAAGCCTGTGCCCCCTCTTAGAATTACCTAGCAAACCTGATCCTGGGTGGAGGACAGCCCTTGCTCACCTAGAAAGAAGCAGATGGCCTCAGAGAGGCTGCACAGCAGCATGCTGGGGGCCACACTGCCCAGGGTACGGCCAATGTGAGCCTCTCGCTGTTCCCCAGGCATCCTAGGCAGCCTCTGAACGGGCAAAGAGACAGAGTACACAGGGTGTGCCAAGGTCACCAAACTTTAAAGATCATCAGCAGGGTGTGACAAAGGTTTAGAGTCCTGGCCAAATCTGAGAAACTTCCAGGCCTTCTGGAGACCGAATAGCCTACTAACAGCTCTCAGCCACACTTTCTGCTTTTGCGTTGTGATGTAAAGAACCACCTGGTGCATTCTAGATGTAAAAAGTTCGTGTCACTGAAAGTCTTCGACAGCACAGAGAGATAAATGGACTCTGGTTTGTGCGTATACCATGGAATGCCACATCTGGTAGTGTAAAGGCAGGAAAGAACTCACTGGATGTTGTATGGGTTTAACTGGAAGCAAGTTCAAGATGACTCAATTAGTATGAATGAACATGTGCCAACCCAGGCTATTTCCTACATGTGTAAGTTTACAAGAATCCCAGCGACTCTGTGCAGGGCCTTGTCTAATGAGGATGTTGGGTATGAAGAACCCCTCCCTTCTTACCTGGTACTCTAGAACAAAGATGAAGATGTTGTCAGCTCCCACAGCCAGCACCAGGAAAGGTACCACTTGGATGATAACCAGAGAGGAGGGGACACCCACGTAGGAGTAGAAGCCCATGGCAGCCACGACTGCTCCCAGCACAACAGCCACCCCACCTAGGCCCAGAGTAGCCTTGGACTCCACCTGTAATTCAATGAGGCTCAGCCTGCTGGCTACCAGGGCACCTGCCCAGACCCTCCTTACTTCCCAGGTTGGGCAAGGAGCAGGCAGGCATCCTTGGTGCTTACATGCCACCCACCTCAATGAAGAACCCATATTTAAGTCTCTATGTTAAACTATGCTCCCAGGGGCAGGCCCATGGCACCAGAGAGTGCAGGTGTGCCTGGCTGCACCTTCCTAGAACTTCATTGCATGGCCTTTTAAATGGTAGCTTCGCATGTGGACAGTGGGAATATGTTAGAGAGCAGGAAGAAAACCCTGAGTCTTTCAATGCAGAACACATCCAAGAAATGCTACCCTTCAAGGGATTCCATTTGGGTGTGTCCAACTTGCTATTTTAAGGTGCCCACTCTTGGAAAGCTTTGGAAAGCCTTCTGGAGATGTCCTAGGCTCTGAGTCACTCTCGCTGTGGCCCTCTTGCTCTCACCGCTACTCGGCTACATCTGGAGTAGCTGCCCAGGGCCAGGGAGATGTACAGGAAGATGATAATGTAGCTGACGGCAAAGACAGGCAGGTCCTGGATGGTGGTGCGGTTGATCTCATCCTCCAGCGAGCGCTGCAAGCACACAACCAGCTCACTGACCACATACTGAGTCTCCATATTGAGTGGCAACACTCTCTGGGGATGAACTACAGGAGTCCCTGACACAAGTGTCACATCTGGGTGAGCACAGGTGTTCACCACCCAGGGCCATTCAGGAACAAGTAGATCCAGGATGCGGATTTGACTGGAATTGACCCACACCATTAGGGATTGCAAGCATAGAACCAGGGACTCTGCAGGGCCCTTACCTCAGCTGAGAATGCAACCTGGAACTTGTCAGCTGTGCTGTTCTGGAACAATTCCATTTCCTTCAAGAAAGCCTCCTCCCAGAGCTTGGCCTGGGCCATGCGGGGATCGTCAGCGGGGTAGTTATTGAGAGAGAAGGTTATGATCAGCGCTTCTGCCTCGGAGTAGTCCGTCCCTGAGAAGAGAAACTCTGAGCCTCCCTCTTATTGAACCCTTGCCCCTCCTCCCCTCAGGCTGTAACCTTCTCCCATTCCTGTTTCTCTACTGCTTCCCTGTTCCAATAACATCTTTATCTCATGCTTCATTTCCCTTTCCCACCCAAAGACACAAAACCAGAGCTCCTAGGTAGCATTGAGAGATGAGGGCAGTGACCGAGGAAAGACAGGAAGCATTGTCTGCAGCCCCCGTAAGCCAGGCCCCCAGACACTGGGAACACTCATCACCATGGCTTCTCCCCCCTCCTACCTATTATCTTTGCACTAAAATTGTCCCTTCAGTAGCCTCCCAGGGTCTACCTCACTTACCTTGGTATCCCCCAACAGCAAGAAAGGGGAAGATAGGGGCCCCGTAGTCAGCTATGCAGCTCAGAGCCAGAGACGTGCCATCTTTGTATGTGAGAGGGGCACTAGAGAGAAACCACAAAGAAAAAGAACCTTTCCTGGCCCTGCCTGGACCCTTTGGCCCCACCCTACCTCAGGCCCTTTGTCTCCTATTGGAGGAGCAGTGACTCCACACTACCAGAGGGTTCAAAATGGCCACCTTTCCACAAGGTACTCTCATATGGTTCCCTAGTCCACTGAATGTAGTAGGGGTTGCCTTGGAGACAGACCCCTTGGGCAGGTAACACTTCCCATGTCCCCTCATATAGCCAAACCTTCCAGACCTGTCATTATCCCAGTTCCAAGTGAGCATCACAATTAAGTGATGAGCCCAGATCTGAGCCATGGCCACCTGACTCACAGATCTCAATGCTGTACTTCATTCCCCTCCTCCCTGAGCCTGAAACCCACGTAAGTGTTGAGTTGAGCCCTGGAACTCAGAGTCACATGTCTACAGCTACTCAGCCAGTGCCCTTGAACAGGTCTGTGCCCTTCAACTAATCCCTTTCTACAGAGCATACCTCTGTGGAGACAGAACAGAATACTAACACAAAGCTCTGTACACACATTCTGAGGTCTGAGCAAGTGTATATATGAATCAACAAAGCCGTCTAAGAGAGCTAAATTGCTGTGTGGCCTTAAGCAGCTCACCATACCACTCTGAGCCTCAGCTTTCTGGTCTATGCAATTAACATAGACCACCATGACTCACCAAGAGTTGGGAGCATTCAAAATCAAAATAAAGATAGTACAAGAGAGGTATGATAGCTTAGGCCTGCCACCACAGCACTCAGAAAGACCACCTCAAATAGTGTGACTCTGTCTAAAAAACAAAAAGCAACAACAAAAACCATACTGTCTTTAGCATGGCCGATCCCCGATGCCTCTCAACAGCCCCTCTCTGCTTTCCCATCTGAGGGATAGCACGGACATTCTAGGAAGCAGCTTGGACTTGAGACTCAGCCGAGGATAGACAGACATTAGCAGGGAGAGACAGCAAGATCTTTCTGTTCTAATCCAGTGGATCTAAAGACCATGAAGCCTGGGACCTGCAGGGGGAAAACTGTGTTCATTAAAAGCACTCGGGGTGGTTACCTGCTGTAACCCTCGCCTGCTCTAGAGTAGGGGCAAGCCCATTTGGGGCACTTCACACTTCATGATTTTCTCCAGGAGCCTCCTCCACCTCTGGCCCTCTCACCACCCTTCCCTCGGTCTGATGAGCTCACTGGCATCCTGTTTATGCCAGCCAACATGGACAAAGCCAGAAGCAGAACTTCATCAGAATAAGGTTGTAGACAAAACTGCGCTAGAATCCAATCTATAGCCTGATGCCTGGGACAAGAGACTAACCACAGCCCTGCCTGAAGTCCAGATGAACATATTTCTAGCCAATTATGAGGCTACCAAAGTCCCTACCAATCATGACACAGTGTCCAGAAAAGGAAACATTGTAAACACAAACACTACCTGAGTCACGGCTTGGAGATTTAAACTAAGACTATAGCAAGGGCAGGAGAGAGGGCTCAGAAGTTACGTGGTGGTGTTTCTGCAAAGGACCAGAGTTTGCTCCCCAGGACCCACCTGGCTACTTATAACTGACCTCAACTCCATTTCCTGAAAATCTAGCAACTTTTTCCAGCTTCTTCAGCACCAGGCACATATATAAGCAGTGTGCATACACGCACAGGAGAAATATTCATTCATGTGAAGTTAAAGTAATTCTAAAAATTAAGTGGACACCACAGCAGGAGCATCATGGAAGGAAAGATCATATGGATTGGAGCTAGAAAGACTGATAGGACAAAAGTCCTGGAGAGAACAGGCATAAGACGGGAGGGAGCGTCGGGCGGTGGTGGCACATGCCTTTAATCCCAGCACTTGGGAGGCAGAGGCAGGTGGATTTCTGAGTTCGAGGCCAGCCTGGTCTACAGAGTGAGTTCCAGGATAGCCAGGGCTACACAGAGAAACCCTGTCTCAAAAAAAAAAAAAATTCAGGCACACGATGGCCCTGATAGACACACATAGGAGCTGTCCCTGGCTCCGAAGGATGGAGCTATGTTCTAGTCTGGTTCCTGGGGGTATAGCAGCTCCCACCTGTTGCCCTCAGGCATACTCACTTTGCACAGTACAGGAAATGGTCCTTCCAGTCCACCAGGGCGGTCTGGCCATTCAGAGTCTGGTTGGCCGTGAGCAACAGGAGCGTGCGGTTATTCTGGAAGTACTGAAGGAGGCTGTTGACACAGCAATCAGAGAGGCTGGTGTTATACGGTTTGAGGGGGGCATAGCAGATGTCCTGTAGGGAGATGTTGCGGTGTGCCTCCTGGGACCACACTTGCAGGTGGCGAAGCCTTTCCTGTAGCTCCAGCAGCTCCAGGAGTGAGTCCAGGGACAGGATCCCACTGAAGTTCTTGGGTCCTAGCAGTAAGGAGTCGTACTTGTAGCTGGACTTGTTCTTAGCTGTCACAAAAATCTGGTTGGTTCGGAAGAAGGGGCCAAAATGCTCATCATGGAAAGCCTTCTCTTTCCGGGCTTGGCTTTTGGGAGCTGACCACAGGTCTACAGGGTCTGTGGTAAGCTCTATAAAGGTCAAGCCTGCTGACAAGGCTATCACAACTATGAAGGACAGTGCCAAAACGGTGAGTGGCCATGAGGCCACCTTCGTGCCCCAGCTCTGGAAGAACCGGCCAAGGACAGCATGAGGTGAGCATCTGTGCTTACGAGGGAGTTTGGAAGCTTCCTGGGAGCCTGCTGTCTTGTTCTTGTTCCTGTTGGAAACCACTCGGAGGCGCACAAGGACAGCAGAGAGCACCACAAAGACAGAAGTAAAGATGATGATGAGAGCCAGCCAGCCCGGCATTTGACCCATGTAGAAAGATGGGCGCAAGGCCTGGGGTGGAGGGATGACAGGGCAGGATGCTGCACAGTCCTGGCAGGAGCAGACTGCCGAATCGTCACCCTGGGACTCGTTGCAGGGTGTGATCTTCCCATTCAGTGGCTGCATCCCATCTGCCACGGGCTGGCCAGGCTCCAAGAGGTGGAAGGTGATGTCCAGTGGAGCCAGGCCATTCCCTGTGTCTCCTTGGAAGTTAAGCCAGCGCTGAGCATTGCAAAGGGCAGAGCCGTACACTCCACACATGGTTCCCACAGCCAGTGAGGCAGCTGAAGGGATGCGCACCTGGCTACAGGACTCATAGGCCTTCTCTGCAAAGCTGCGTTGGTAAAAGGCCTCATAGGCCACCACAGCAGGAAGCTGACCAGCACCCCGCTCAACCACGCGGGTGACATTGATGAAGAGGCTCTGGTCAGGGCTGCAGGTGTTATGGCAGTGTAAGCTCACAAAGTTCTCAGAGCAGGCTGGGCAGCGTGTGAGGAGGGCCTTGGTGATAGACATGCTACTTTCTAATGACAACAGCTGCTTGGTAGAGCAGCAGGCAAAGGTGTTATTGGGGCCATTGTATAGACGGGGACAGATGCGCTGGAGAAGAGCCAGATGGTCACCTGTGACATGGCGGGCCGGGGTATTAGACAGGCAGGATACATTGGATAGTGATGTGAGGCCTCCAGAGAGCTCTGGGTTCTTCCCACACTCTTCATAAAAGGTGCAGACGCCAGCTTGGTGAGTGGGTGTGTATAGCTCCCCCTGGGCCTGCAGAAAGGACCGATAGCATCCATGAGCCCTAAGTCTGGTTGACACAGTCAGGTACTGTCTGGAGAGTGAGAGGCCAGGGAGTATATGGGAAAGATGTACAGCAGTAAGGGGCTGGGAGTGCTAGGGGAGGCCGGTCGGGGCACGTGCTATGCTTAGGGTGCCAATGGAGGGGCACTCTCCCGATGGACAGTGACGGGGTTATTCAGAAAAGGAAGTGATCTAATAGAGTGTGGCTTTAAAGCCTCATGCTGCAGGGGAGAGGAGGAGATAGGGACCTCTATTGCTGCCCGTTTGAGTCTCCAGGCTGGACTCTACACCGAGGCCAGGGTTCCTTGTACAGGGATCTGTACAAGAGCCCCCACACACATCCACACATATCTACACACACACACCTACATCCTGCATTAGCAAATTGAGCGCAAACAAGGATGATGACAGGACCTCCTCCCAAACCCAGACTATTTCAGGTACTGTTCACTGGGATCCACCTCCTGCACCTGACTTGGTCTACATTTACAGCTCCATCCCTTTGCCTCTCTGACCCTTTATCCCTTCAACCCCTTGACCTGGAGACCCCTCCACCAGCACTTATCTTTGGGCATGGAAAACCTCCCACAGCCATGGGACTCTTCCTCATTATCAGGTACCCAGATGGCCTTGCCCTAATGGGAGGCACTAGGAAGTAGCCACGAGCGACAGACTCACCGAATTCAGGAGCAGGGCCCAGAGCAGCCATCCCTGCCATGTAGCTGCCATCCCAGGGCCAGGAAGTGATCAAGAAAAAGCAGGTCGAGGCCTTCAGAGATAGCAGGGGAAAGCTGAGGGCTGGCCCCTGAATTTGCACATTAAGGCAGCCTCCTCCTCTTAGTGACAACCCTCATCTGCCGCGTTGAGGCCAATAGGGCTGTGCGGTACTAGTTAATAATTTACCTCCTTACGTCAGGTGGCGCCATTCCATCTCCCCCTTCTTAGGTGAACTTCCTAGTGAAGGTGCTGGGGTCCTCACTCATTTCTTGATGCAACTGAAGTCTAATGTGCTGGTTACAGCCAACTGGGCAAGAGATGCCCAGATCAGACACTGGCCTGGCTTTGACCTTGGGGGCTTAACATAGCTGCAAAATGTCAACATTGTCCTGGACTTGGCCTCCAATCTACAGTCTGACCCATCGCCTCTTGAGATCAACATCAAGGATAGGCTCAGACTCACTTGTCGTCCTAGCAACTGAATAGTTGTTATTAGTGCCCAGATAACAGGGATACGAAGACAGAGTCATTCCATGACAAAAGTTCTGACAGGGAACAGGACCAGAGATTCCTTGGATCCCTTTGCCCTTCTTCCTCATGCCTGCTCTATCTCTTTCTTGATCCTGGCCCTGGCCTAGTCCTCTGAACAACCCTGGCTAGTAGCTGAGTGGCAAGTCCCACCCAACCTGGGCCCAGGTACATGGTTCACCTTCTGCTTCTTTCCAATAGGAAACTTCCAGTCTTTCCTTGGGCTCTTGCTATCACCAAGACAGGCCAGGACCTTGGCCCCTGTTGCCAGGACTGAGCTGCTGATAATTGTTTCAAGGCTGCTCATGAGGCTACCTGTTGAGACAGCTGCAGGGAAGGGTTCCTACTTCGCTCTACCAGTGTCCCAGGGGCTCTGGTGAGCTCAGAGGGGAGCCACCCAAGCTTAGGCAGGGAACAAGAGGGGCTGAGGAGAAGGCCCCAGGGCCTGATCTTGTGCAGGGCTAACCCTACACGACATCACCTGCTTCCCTTGTTGCTCCCTGGATGCCACCCACTCCTATTCTTGTCTTGTCTCAAATGTTCTCATTTGATTCCTCCAGATGCAGACCCTGAGACAAGTATCCTAGGACAAATGATATGGGTTATTTGGAAGATGACTTCAGGTGACTGCAGGGGCTGAGCAGACAAAGAATCATAAGATGTGATGATCAAGATGTATTCAAGAATAGCTCCTGTCCCTGAGACCTCCAGGACATAGTGGGAACTGCCCTAGGAGATCCCCACCAGTGGATGAGGGTGTGACACTGTCCGCACCTAGTCATTGATTGAGGACACTCCTGGAATTACTGATAGGGACATGGTGGCACACACCTTTAATCCCAGCACTTAGGAGGAAGAGGGAGGCAGTTCAAAGCCAGCCTGGTCTACAGATCAAATTTCAGAATAGCCAGAGTGACAGAGTGAAACCCCATCTCAAAAAAAAAAAAAAAAAAAAAAAGACTGTCGTCACATGAAAAACCTCAAGAGCCCAAATGAGGGGCGTTGAAGCCCTGCCTTCTCCACATCAGTTCTCATGAGGGTTGTCCAGCTGTTCCCAGACCAGACCCCAGGGAGATGAGGGTCCAGATCTGTGGTCTGAGCTCTTTTCTGAAGCCCTGCAAAAGCATGAGAAACACACAGTCACACTAGAGGCGAGTGGGCCACCCAGTCTAACGTCACTGCCTGTGTAGGGGTCCCTGTGGGCCTTGCCAGGGCACACTAGTTCAGTCATGAACATGTGACACAAGCATGCACGCTTGCTGTTTTTCTCTTGATTTTAACACTTAATTGCCTTCAGTCTCTGATCACCATGTTTATTTGGAATTGTCACCCGTGGAGCAGCATGGGGGTCTACTCTCCCAGTATTGGAAGGTGAGCTGGTTGCCAAGATTTCATTACTATAAATAAGTGTCTATTGACCCCTTTATGTCTAAGATGTGCCCCCCTCCTCTTCTTCCTCCTCCTCCTTCTCTTCTTCTTCTTCCTCCTTCCTCTTCCTCCTCTCCCTCATCTCTCTTCCTCCTTCTCTTCTTTTTTATCTTTGAAATGTGTCTCCTTCAAATGTGTTCCCAGAGCTGAAACCTATGATTTTAAGTGCATTTATGATTTATGCATTTATATAAGTGCACAGTTGGCAATTTCATTCCTTGAGCTATATGAGGATTATCAGACGATTATCAGATTTTGTTACTGGTATCTAGCTAAGGGTCAGTCCCAACTCTCCCAGGACAAACACCAATGACGCCAGCAAGCACAGTGTCTCATCCTATGCTCACCTAATCATAATCGTGTCTCACCACACTTTTATGGTCATGAACTATGTCTGCCAGGCTTCACTAACTTAGCAACTGCAGCAGGATAAGAAGACACCTCCTGGTTTGTGGAAGGAGGGCTTAGTACTGAGATTTGAACCCCAGACTTGCACATGGTAAGCCCGTGCTACACCACTAAACTGTACAGTCAGCCATGAAATCTCTTTTTAATTTAAATTTATTATTCATACAATTATCTCTGGCTACAATGTAGTCACTCAGCAGCCCAGTGCAGCATTTCACACTATGTCAGGGGGCAGCTTGGAATTGGGGCAAGGCAGTGCTCTGAGACCAGGGTGTTTGCTTGGTAGTTCTCCAAGGAAAGCTGTTCAGGCAGGCCCTGGAGATGTGAAGAGAGCTCACTAATCTGACTTCTCTGTACTCCAGCAGCATTCAGAGTTTGGGGGTCTATGTAAAAAGGCCAGGAAGGTTATCTTTGCTGACCCCCGTGAATGTGAGTAATCAGCCTACTATTGGTATCTTCACTTCCTTGTCTTCAGACCGTATTTGGTGAAGGACTGTGCCCACAGTTCAGACGGAGGTATGCTTCCTGTACTAGAAGCTCCCTTTGTCACAGGCAGTGGCCATGTGATCTGCCTCAAGACATCTGCATTAAATGCAACTTGCATAGCTCCTGTGATAGCCTAGGCTTGCCCACCTCTTGTACTTTAGACAGAGGGGCAGAATATCTGGAGTTCTCGCTTATCTTGTGGTCCTGAAGGATCAGTAAATAATGATTTTTAAAATAGGCCATCCAGGAGTGACATCAGGAAAACAGTAAACAAGGAAGCTCTGAGATAGTATCTCTCCATAGAAACATTGATAAAATAAGCTGAGATGTCAGAACGAACTTTGTAGGCACTCAAAAAAAAAAAAAATAGATAAAGGTCTATAGCAACCAGGCAAACAAAGAATTAAAAAAAAAAAAAGTTGGCCTGAAAAATTCTAGGGCAGTTTTATGGTACTTTTATTCACCTTTGCCTCTTCTCTTCGCCAGCGTAGAGCCTGCCTCTGCCTTAAAGCAAGAAGAGCATCTGCTTTACAATACAGAGGGAGCTGGGCGGTGGTGGCGCACACCTTTAATCCCAGTGCTTGGGAAGCAGGGACAGGCAGATCTCTTTGAGTTCGAGGCCAGCCTGGTCTACAGAGTGAGTTCCTGGACAGCCCGGGCTACACAGAGAAACTCTGTCTTATAAAACAAAAACAAATAAATAAACCACAGAAGGAATTCCCTCCTTCTGTTCAGGGTTGATCAAATATTGATCAGCATAAAGATAGGCCACTACTCAGAACCGTTCCTGGGGTAGAGTTTAAAGGTAGAGGTCTACAAAGGGCCACCTAGCCCAAGGGACCTAGGCAAGTAGGAGTTGGAAAGCAGCTATTTGTGTTCTAGGAGAAAAGATGATAAAATCCATCCATTTAGGATACGCCATTTAGGATCTCACCTGGCAATCACAAAGCATCCAGATTCCCAAGCCCACTCGCAATAGTAAAATGTGGGCTGACCTTCCTTCCTTCTATTCTTCCTTTTTTAAAACTTGTTTTCTTTTTTTTGAGACAGAGTTTCTCTGTGTAGACCTGCCTGCCCTGGAACTTGCTCTGGGAGACCAGATTGGTCTGGAACTCACTGTGTATCCCAGAGATGACTCTGAACTCACAGCAGTCCCCTTGCCGTAGCCTGAAGATTGGTATTTCAGGTGTTAGCCACCACATCCAGTCTCTTAGTGCACTGCCATTTTTTAAAAATATTGTCTAGAACTTCAAAGCTTAAGAAAGTGAAACCAGATGAGGAACCTGGATCCTATGATATGTACGTAGGGACCTGGCTGAAAGATGGCCCAGAGACAAAGAAGAGCATAAATTCCTTCACAGGGCTTCATCTCAGGCTGCTCCTTTTCTATACTCTGCCATGTGGTTTTTATTTGTTCTCTAGGACTAAATCCAGGAATCATATAAACTGCCTTACCATCGAACCTAGTTTCCTACCTTTCTTCTGGCCTTGGTAGCTTATGTATATATAGGCAAACACACATAAAATAAAAAGAAATATATTTTTTAAAATCACAAATGTGGAGAAATTTTCAACACATTCCTAACATCTAGTAGGTTAAATAATAAAACACAAGGAAAAATTTAAAATATCTTTGAGCTAGGCATAGTATACATACCTGTAATGGTATCCAGACCTCATTAAAAAAAAGTTATGGAATGAAATAAAAATATAGAAAATGTACCAGGGCCAAGCAGTGGTGGCGCACACCTTTAATCCCAGCACTTGGGAGGCAGAGGCAGGCAGATTTCTGAGTTCTAGGCCAGCCTGGTCTACAGAGTGAGTTCCAGGACAGCCCGGGCTACACAGAGAAACCCTGTCTCAACACCCCCCCCCCAAAAAAAGAAAAGAAAATGTACCAGGAAGTAATGATAAAACAACTAAAGTCAAATAAAATAAAAACCTAGCAAACCAAATGTGTGTGCAGGAAAGACATACTAACTGGGAAATTTTGAGTTCAACTACATATATCCTAAAAGAAGAAATGACAAATGTGGTGAGACAGGCTGTGGTCCAGCATTCAAAAAGCTGAGGCAAGAAGACTAAATGTGACCCTCCCTCCCCCGCCAGGAGCAGAGATGATGGATAGACAGGGTGGGGAGGGTGGGGGCGGTGCTCAGAAGCCCTGTGAGTAATAAGGGCACACCAGGACCAGCTTCAGGGAGACAGATCAACTTTACTTGGGGTGATTCAAGGGTTATATAGTTTTGGGTTAAGGGGTAGGAATATCCAGGGCAAGCAAAGGT